ATGGATCCATTGTTTATTACTCAGAGTGTAAAAGGGAATCTCAAACATCGAAACCTTCTATCCTGTATAAAATTTTCTTCCCTTTTGATGATATTCAGGAACAGCGTCACTCGTATGCACTCTCAAAACAAAACTATGAGGACTGACTAGCCTTGCTTTCATGCAACTGCACTTGGGCCTTCAGACTGGTCCAACATATTTGCATTTTGTGTACACTTTTAATCAAAATTATTCATCTTACTGTAATTAACAAAACCTATCAAATAATGATAGAATCCACATTCTTTGACAAAATGTGTTTGTAAATAGGGCAATCCTCAGTGTGTGATTAAGTCTGAAACAAACAAACACCTGAGAATAGATCAATTTTACGGATTTCAACTTGGATTATGGATATCTCAGCATTCTGTACATGTTTTACCCAAATGCAAGTAGCTGCAAGTACTTTTTGAGGAGTTTTCTTTGTAGTGATAAGTGCTACACTTGATTGTCTTCTTCTCAATTCAAGAAATGAGCCTGCTCACCTTCTTGGAGGGATCAAAGACCAGTTGAGGGATATTTTCCAAAAGTCAAGCCTATGACATGATCATCTGACCAAACCAAGCCATTTGACAACTATAATAATTGCTACATTTTCTCCATACATACCATCTTGTATAGCCTCTACCCATTCTTTCTTCTCTTGTTCACTTCTTGCATTTACATAGAGGACTAAGTCATCATACACAACCTACAGACAGTAAAAAGTGAAGTAATGTGAAGGTCAAAGGTATACTCTAATAATTAAAGGTCACCCTTACAGCGAAACCATAATAAAACCTTGAAGTTTACCCAACCATATATTCACATCAAGTTTACACACAATGTGTGTGGAATTAAATCACCTTCTGAAGGTACTTATCCAATGTACTTGAAATGGGAAACACCTTAGAGATAAATGAAGTGCTCATTGACAACAGATTCTACTTTCAATGTATCATATGGTTACATGTATATTGAAGGATATCTGAACAGATATGTTGTTTCCCTAATTGCAACTTCCTCTAGTTAG